CAGTTCCGGGGCCCTGCTCGCGGCCCCGCACCCGGCCCACGTGACCCACCCCTCACCCGACCCAGGTGACCCACCCCGCACCCGGCCCACGTGACCAGCTGGTGTGGCTGCCGCGCGCGGAGCGGCCCGGGAGCCCCTGCAGCGGTGCTGCGAGGAGGACGGACGCCCATCGGCGTGGTGTGCGACCGCCCCGCGAGCACCGCCCGGCGGGCAGCGCTGGAGGAGGCGGTGCCGGGCTTCCCGGTGAGCGGGGCGGGGGGCAGAGGCCGGAGAGCCTCCGAGGCCTCCTTTTTTCCGCCTGGAAAATGGCTGAGCGGAGCTGGGCGCTGACTGGGGGGAGCCGGTGGGTGGGGAGGAAGCCGCAGGTCCCCGCCCGTCTCCTTTCTTAGCGCCTCTGTCCACCCGCCCACGGGCACCCCTTCCATCAGCGACTCCCATGACCCGCGAGGGTCTCCGCACCTGCGGCCCCGCCAGGCCTGGGAGACCGGCCGGCTCTTCCCGGCTTCCTTCCGTAGACGCTCCAGGAGAAGCGCACAGCTCTTTACCCTTCAGTTACTGAACCCTAGACTCTCGGAGGGAACAGTTATTGTGAAGATCAAGTGAAACGCAGTGATGGGGGCGCTTTGTGACCCGTGGGTCCAGCAGGCAGACCGCGCGGGAGCCGTCACCTGGCGGAGCGAGCGCAGGCCCCGGCCGCAGTTGCAGTACCTCCTTCCCCTTCGCCCGCCATGGCGAACCTTTTGGGCTCCGCGTGTCAAAATTTTGAAAAACCCTAACTTCACTCTGGTGCCGTGTCACATATAGAAATATTCATAATTTTTTTTGATATTTGCAACCATAGTAAAAAAAAGATTTATATTTTTGATATGTATTTTATATATTTAAATGCCATTTAACAAAGAAAAATCAACCAAAAAATATGTATAAAATGAACAAAAACAGAAAAACAGCGTACATTTAGGAAAAAAAGAATAAAAACAATGATAATCAAATGACACGAAAACTAGAAATTAGTGACTTTTTTGGTGCTGAAATTTGTCTGCTAATTCTTCGACTGCAGGTTCATACTTGGTGCACTTCAAGGCCAAGCAAGCACCACTAACTTCATCTGTTAGCCGGTTTCTTTTGTTCATTTTAATATTATTTAATGCTGAGAACAAAGTCTCACAAAAATATGTTGATGGAAAAATTGTTAGCAAAGCCATCGCTAGATTTTTTATGTTGCTAAAAGTGTCAGGTACTCTGTTCCAAGCACTCAAAATTTCTTGTTCGTAGTTGCACTCTTCTTCATTATTCAAACGATTTCGTTCCAGATTTTCAAGTTTCGACCTTAAGTCGACAAACACATGAGTCCAAATGCTACCTTGAAAATCTGCAAGTTGCATCTCTAAATAGTCAATTTGCATCCATTGGAAATCCTTTAATTCCAAAGTACTGTAAACAACTACATCCTAATGGTCTGTTCTAGGCTTCTAAATTGGTCGAATCTTTTGCTGAACTGTTCAAATAACGAGTTTACTATACGAGTTTACTATATTCTGGTACATAAGTATGGACTGTAGTGGCCTTCTCGAAATACTTTTTTATCCGAGGAAAATACTTATAAGTTTTAGTTTCAATATCTCGCTTGAAAATTTTAAGTTTACTTTCAAAAGATTTGATGTAGCCAAACATAATGTTAATACTTTTGCCAAAACCTTGTAATTTTAAGTTCAGTTCATTCTTATGAACAGAGAGATCTGTAAAAAAATCAAATTGCTGACCCACTTATGATCATTGATCTGAGGAAAGTTTGCCAGATCCTTATTCTCAATAAATACCGTAATTTCTTCAAAGCACTCCACAAATCGCTCAAGTACTTTACCTCGACGCAGCCATCTCACATTATTGAACATCAGTAGTCCACTGGAGGTTGAATCAACTTCCTGTAAAAGTGCAGGAAATTCTCGCTTGTGAAGGGGTCAAGAAGCTATAAAATTCACAATTTTTGTTACAACTGAGATTAAATCATTCAATTCTGAGAATCCCGATTTAGCACACAACACCTCCTGATGGATAATGCAATGAAAAGGTACAAGTGGGTGTCTAATAGCTTCCATAAACAATTTCAGGAATCCCACATTTTTCCGCACCATATTTGGTGCCCCATCTGTCGTGACTGACACAATTTTAGAGATATCAATATTTAGGTCACTGGGTGTTTTTATAACAACCTTACATATTTCGTTTCCTGATGTACTTATTGGCACTGATTCTAACTTTATCAACTCTTCTCTCATTGTGAGACCATCAGAATATCTAGCAATAATGGCCAACCGAGCATTTGATGTGACATCAGTAGTTTCATCAAGAGAAATCGAAAAATAGACTCGCGCATCACCCGGGGCTGCCAGGGGCGTGTCAGGCGCGCACCGGGCCGCGGTGACCCAGGCTGTGCGGGAAGAGGAGGAAGCGGAGGAGGCCGGGCCGGCGCCTCGCACACGGATTTTCAGTTTCATAGACGTAGGTTAGGCACCTGCAGGGGGCCGTGCCGGGCCCTGCGCTGGGTAGGGCAAGGGGGGCCCTGGGCCAGAGCTCCCCGATGAAGCAGAAGTGAATTCCGACCCTCACAGCCTTTACGGGAGAAATGAGATCATTGTGGAGATGTGCTTCAAGGGTGGTTTATAGATGAGTTGAGATCAGGCTTGTATTGGTATAGGACGGTGAAGCTGGGTCATGGGAACCTGGGGTTTGTCACACAGTTTCTCCACTTTTCTGTCTGTAATTTTCCATAATAAAAGAACCTACACGTAAAAATAAAAAAAAATAAAAAAAAGAGAAATCAAAAAATATTTGCAACTATTTAAGTCTTTTTTTAATTGATGTTGTATGTTTTTGTTAAGATCTATTATTCTGTCTTTGATAGTATTTCTACTGAGTGGTAACTCAGAAATTCTTTTAATAATATCATCTTTATTTTTTATATCGTGAAATAGAGCTGGTGCACATCTTAGAAATGTTTCCGTAATAAATTCTCCGTCACTGAGGGCTTTTCCATACTGAGCTATGGAGTGAGCAATACAGTAACTTGGTGATGTTAAATTTGTAGAGCATCTTACAAATTTAATGATGGAATTTGATTGACTTTTATAGAGGTGTAGCTGCCTAGAAATGTATTCCTTCCTTTCATCGATACTTTTTTTCAAGAGCTGACAATGATTAGTTTCAAATGTCTCTTTACATTCCGCGTTCTGCTTACTGCCATTTCATTACACAGTATGCACAATGATCTGTTGTTTCTGTCGACAATCCCGTACATCTCGGTCCATGTGTCTTGAAAGGGTCGGCTACTGCTACTTCCACTTCCTTTATCATTCAATCTTGCTTTTTTATTTTTTTGATTCTCCATCACAAGGCTGCAAAAATAAATAAATATAAATCACGGCATTTATAAAAGGTTGATAGGTTTCTTACCTATTAACTTTTTGCAGTGTTGTTGCACTGACTCCTGGTGCAAAACAATTCAAAGATAGTATGTATAACCAACAGATATATGGTGCTGTAATCAATTATTCAACACGCAGAATGTTTTGTCAAGCACTGTTGCACTGTATATCTTTTTCTTCTAACCCTCCCACTCCTGTCTCCTAAAGAACATGGCGATCAAGTGCGTCCATTTCCCGAGTGCACCCGAACGCACGGGAAGCTTACCCGAGGCACATGTTGACAATAACGAGGCCGTTTCCAGAATTGGGCATTTTGTCACTCGAGTAAAAATAAAATGTCATGAGTAAAGATTAATCTCTTTATAGTGCAATTCTTTTTTTAAAAAATATTTTATTGATTTTTTACAGAGAGGAAGGGAGAGAGATAGTTAGAAACATCGATCAGCTGCCTCCTGCACACTCCCCACTGGGAATGTGCCCACAACCAAGGTATATGCCCTTGACCGGAATCGAACCTGGGACCTTTCAGTCCGCAGGCCAACGCTCTATCCACTGAACCAAACCGGTTATGGCTAGTGCAATTCTTAACATTTTTATATTAATGTCAATATTGGAACAATGTATCTTGGATGTTTTCACTATGTATCTTTGCTACGAAACACCGATGTACATGTTTACATCCGGTTTTAGAATTGCATTATTGATCATGAGTAACGTGAGTAATAATATTATTCGAGTGATGCCCAACTCTGGCTGTTGCGAGAGACAAATATTTGAATTATGCAATTTTTTGTCTCTGTCGATGTGTGTCACCCAGAATGAGTTTGCGTGTCACCTCTGACATGCGTGTCATAGGTTCTCCATCACTGCCTTAGGCTGTCAAATTGAAAAAATGACAGCAGCCAACACAACAATGGCCATCAAATGTGAATAAATCAAAATCATACCTATTTTTTTTTGTCAGATGGACAAAAAATACAGTATATTTTTTGGTGTTTCGCAGAATTTTAGTATTTAGTTTATGCGTACCAGGAGATGGAAAAGGTTGAGAATGGCTGCACGGTGCCATGTAGTATCCTGGGGGTGTGGGGGGGGGGGCAGGTGGCTGCCTCACTGTGAGTCACACACTGACTGCTCGCGAGAGGCGTGACCACCCCTGAGCCTGGAGGGCAGTGTGGCTGAGGACAGGTCTAACTCCGGGTTTGGCATCAGAGGGTTTGACATCAGAGACGGTTGCATGTGTGATGAGCAGAATAGCCATGCTGACGTTAGATCTGCCTAATCTTGGAAGGCCCAACTGATTTTGCTTTTCTTAGGAGCAAATCCAGAACCAGCTGGACCACCTAAAACGAGTGAAAAACTTAAAAAAGAGGCATCAGGCACAGGGGGAGCAGGCGCGAGCTGAACTCTTGGTAAGGCTCTTTGGAATTCACAGAGAATATTGTTACCAGATTGGGATCTGGCCCTGAGCAGGTCTGCCTAAGGCCAGCTGGTAGTGTGTCAGTTCTTGACTTCACGCAGGAAGGATGTCACAACATGAGTCCAGGTGATTTTGAGGGTACGTTTGTTAAAGCTGGGGACAGAGCCCAGCCGGTGTGCCCCATGGTTGAGCATTGACCTGTGAACCAGGAGTTCACGGCTCAATTCCAGTCAGGGCACATGCCTGGGTTGCTGGCTCGGTCCCCAGTCGGGGCACACAGGAGGCAGCCGATCAATGATTCTCTCTCATCACTGATGATTCTATCTCTCCCTTCCTCTCTGAAATCAATACAAATATTTTTAAAAAAAACAAACCTAGGGACAGTGGAGTAAGGAAGGGTTTAGCATAGAAGAAGCAACAGGAGAGCCCAGGCAGGGCTGCTTGCTCACTGGGAAGTCAGAGAAAAAGGGGCCTTGGGGACAAGTTCAGGGGTGAGCCACTGCCATTGCTCCCCTGATTGCCTGTGGGCGAAGGAGAGGGGCAAGGGAAAGTGAAGTTGTGTTCCCAGAGGGGGAGCATGTGCTGGGTCCTTTGTCTTGAGGGTTTTTATATCTTTCTTTTAAAATGTATTTTTATTGATTTCAGAGAGGAAGGGAGAGGGAGGGAGAGATAGAAACATCAATGATGAGAGAGAATCATTGATGGGCTGCCTCTGCATGCCCCCTACTGGGGGTTGAGCCATAACCCAGGCATGTGCCCTGACTGGGAATTGAACTATGACCTCCTGGTTTGGTTCATAGGTCAACACTCAACCACTGCACCACACCAGCCAAGCTAGTTTTTTATTATTTTTTTGTTAATCCTCACCAGAGGATTCACCCCCATTGATTATTTTAGAGAAAGTAGAAGGGGAGGGGAGAGAGAGAAAGAGAAGTGAGAGAGACACATCGATTGGTTGCCTCCTTTAGTGCCCTGACCAGGGTGGGGAACAAACCTGCAACCCAGGTTGGTGCTCTTGGCCAGAATTAAGCCCATGACCTGTTGGTCTGAAGGCCAAGAGCCACACTGGCCAGGCCTTTATTTCCTTCTCACAGGCGGGAACCTTAGGGGAGGCCTCCGGGGAGAGTTCCAGCAGAACATGCATCTGTTTCTAGATGGGCTCCTCCCCAGGGCGTGGTCTCCACGGATGGGCAGGGGGTTGTCAGTCATCACAGCTGGTCCTGGTGTCTCCCACCTGGTTTTGCTGCTTTTCTGGGCCTGGAGCTGAAACACAACTGCGGCCTCGATGTTATCTTAGGGAGGGGACCTCCTGCCTCTGCTGTGCATTGCTCTGCAGTGTGTTCAGCTCTCTGCCTCAGTTTCCCCGTTCTACTTGCTAAGTAATTTTCCTGGCGTCTTATTATCCCGTCTCAATGTCACTTCCGCTGGTTACTTTCCTGTGTCGTGGGCTGGGGTCTCTTCTCTGTGTCCCGCACGGAGAGAGACGTGAACCGGTTCGTTTAAGTTAGGAGGTGCTTTTGGTATTAAAGAAAAATGAATTGGACAGACACAAAATTAGACTAAAAGCTCGGGCTGGGTGTGGCGTCTGCCCTCTCATGGAGGGACAGACAGAGAGAGATCCAGCACTGGAAGGAGTTTGTTATATACTTGAATTACAGGAAGTTACATCACATCTGAGTGGGCCTTGAGTTCCTGGCGACACCATGAGATCCATCCCCTTAACACTGGGCAGGAAAGTCAGACTGAGTGGTGTCCAATCTCTTGACTGGGTCCGCCCTCAGGGCGTGGCTCTGCCTTCGCTCTCTGAGTTTCAGCCACATAATTAAACCGAGTGTTTACTAAGGGCCCTCAGCACTTTCCCGTTTGTAAGGCGATGTTACTTCCTCAGCCTTGTCCAAGTCACTCAGACATCGAGGTGAAGGTGGAACAGCCATATGGTGGTTGGACCCTTGGAGATCTGACCTATCAAAAGTTTAACCTTAGAGCCAAGGCCAGTGTGGCTTAGTTGGCTGAGCATTGTCCCATGCACCAAAAGGTTCCTGGTTCACTTCCCAGTCAGGGCACATACACATGCCTGGTTGCAGGCTCAATTCCCGGTGAGGAGCATTCAGGAGGTAGTGGGTTGATGTTGCGCTGTCACGTTGATGTTTCTCCCTCTCCCTTCCTGTCTCTCTAAAATCAGTACAAATATATTTTTGACAAATTTAATCTTCTAGCTTCCTGTAGATCAGGGTTGACCCTGGACAAAGCTGACTTGGTGAAGTGCTTGGGCACTCAGCCTGCTGTGGTACTGTCTGTAGACAGATGCGCAGTGGGTTTGCATGAGCCCCACTGTTGCTGCTGTGGGAGTGGTCCCTTTCTGACACTTTGATTCTGAACTTCTCACTTTGTTTCCTTCCCTCAGTCTCTCAAGGCATTAGCAGTGGCTGGTGTGCTAATTTCTGATAGGGATGTTTGGGGGGTTTGTTTCGAAAACCAAAAAAAAGTGCAGAGATTTTTATAATATACTAGAGGCCCAATACACGAAATTCGTGCAAGAGTAGGTCTTCCTCCCCTAGCTGCTGGTACTGGCTTCCCTCTGGCACCTGGGACCCAGCCTCCGGTAGGTACCCAGAACCTGGGCTTCCCTTGCAGTCCTGGCTTCATCTGTCTAATTAGCATATTACGCTTTTATTATTATAGACTAGAGGCCCGGTGCACAAAATTTGTGCATGGAAGGGGGGAGTCCCTCAGCCCGGCCTGCACCCTCTCACAATCCAGGATCGCTTGCTCCAAACTGCTGGCCTACCTGCCTGCCTGCACACCCCTAACCGCCTCTGCCTGCCTGCCTGATCTCCCCTAACCACTCTGCCTGCCTGCCTGATCTCCCCTAACCACTCTGCCTGCCTGCCTGATCACCCCTAACCACTCTGCCTGCCTGCCTGATCTCCCCTAACCGCCTCTGCCTGCCTGCCTGATCGCCCCTAACCACCTCTGCCTGTCTGCCTTATCACCCATAACCACCTCTGCGTCCCTCCTTGATCGCCCCTAACCACCTCTGCCTTCCTGCCTGATCGCCCCTAACCGCCTCTGCCTGCCTGCCTGATCGCCCCTTACTGCCTCTGCTTCGGCCCCCACACCCGGGACCCAGGCTTCCCTCCTCCGGCCGGCCGCAGGCACCCAGGACCCGGCTTCCCTCCCTCTGGCTGGCCACAGGCACCCGGGACCACTACCATGGGCAGCTTCCCTGCCTCTGGGGTGGCTTCCCCCGGCCGGGCCTGGCTTTATCCAGAAGGACGTCAGACATCCGGAAGACATCTGGTCCATCCCGTCTAATTAGCATATTACCCTTTTATTAGTATAGACTAGAGGCCTGGTGCACAAAAATTTGTGCACTCAGGGGGGTCCCTCAGCCTGGCCTATGCCCTCTTGCAGTCTGGGACCCCTCGGAGGATGTCCAACTGCTGGCTTTGGCCCGCTCCCTGGGGGATCGGGCCCAAGCTGGCAGTCAGACATTCTCTCTGGCAGCCCGGCAGCCCTCAGGGGATGTCCACTTACCAGCAGGGAGCAGGCCTAAGCTGCAGTCGGACATCCTTAGTGCTGCTGAGGAGAGGCTCCCGCCACCACCGCTGTGCTGGCAGCCATCAGCCTGGCTTGTGGCTGAGCAGAGCTCCCCCTGTGGGAGCACACTGAACACCAGGGGACAGCTCCTGCATTAAGCATCTGCCCCCTGGTGGTCAGTGTGTGTCATAGTGACCAGTCATTCTCAGTCACTCTGCTGTTAAGGTCAATTTGCATATTAACCTTTTTATTATATAGGACAGAGGCCTGGTGCATGGGTGGGGGCCGGCTGGTTTGCCCTGAAGGGTGTCCTGGATCAGGGTGGGGGTCCTGCTGGGGTGCCTGGCCAGCCTGGGTGAAGGGCTGATGGGTGTTTGCAGGCTGGTCACACCCCCTTCAGGGTGGGGTTCCCACTGGGGTGCTTGGCCAGCCTGGGTGAGGAGCTGATGGCTGTTTTCAGGCTGGTCACACCCCCTTCAGGGTGGGGGGTCCCCACTGGGATGCCTGGCCAGCCTGGGTGAGGGAATGATGGCTGTTTGCAGGCTGGTCAAGCCCTCCCCCCCAGTGGGGACCCTCACCCAATGGAGGTTTGGCCAGCCTTGGTGAGGGGCTGATGGCTGTTTTCAGGCTGGCCACACCCCCTTTAGGGTTGGGGGGTCCCCACTGGGGTGCCAGGCCAGTCTGGGTGAGGGGCTGAGAGCCGTTTTCAGGCTGGCCAAGCCCCCTGGCGACAAAAACTCCCAGCCTCTCCTTTTTTTCTTTTTCTTTTTTTATTCTGGGATTTATTTACCTTCTATAATTGAAACTTTGTTGACTTTTGCGGAGGCTACAGCCGGCCACGGGAAGCTTGGCTTCTTCCATCACTGGAGCAACCAAGCCTTCTGCTCATTCCAGCTTCGTGGCCATGGCTGGCTGAAAGCAGGTATCTGGGGTTTATTTAGCTTCTATAATTGAAATTTTGTTGCCTTTTGTGGAGGCTACAGCCGGCCACGGGAAGCTTGGCTTCCTCCATCATTGGGGCAACCAAGCCTCCTGCTCGCTCCAGCTCCGTGGCTGCCGGCCACCGTCTTGGTTGGGTTAATTTGCATATAGTCGCTCTGATTGGCTGGTGGGTGTGGCTTAAGGCATAGCAAAGGTATGGTCAATTTGCATGTTTGTCTTTTATTAGTGTAGATACTTACAAATCCACCATTTAGGTTTTTAAGCATTTTTTTAAACAATATATAAAATGTTAAAAATTCCCACCCATTACAGGCATTTGCATGTGAGAAGCAAACTGTTAGTAATTAGTGTCTATCACCTCCTGGCCAGGGTGTAGTGAGAACTTTTGGGCAGGGAACTGATTCCCATGTGCCCATAGATGCCACCACAGAATCCTCTGAGACCTCAGCTCCCTTTGCTTGAGAATAGGTCTGATGGTTGGAGAATCTTCTAGTGAGCCTGAGTGGAGTCAAGTTATTACACACATAATCCTGTCCTCTAGAAGGATTGTCAGAGGGAGACAGCCCTTCTCTGATAGGGTATCTGGACATGCTTCTTGGCTCTGACACTAGCCAATTGGCTAGTTGGAGAGAGTAGTACAACCTCTTGAGGCTCAGTTTTCTCATATGTGAAATGGGTAGGCTAGGCTAGACTTGTTCTTCAGCAACGCCCCCCTCTCTCTTCCTCCCAATGTGTGTTTCCTTGGTTGTCACTGCCTTTGTGATTGGGAGGGTGGGGCAGGGATGCGGAGTGTCCTGCAATGTAGAAACCGTCCCAGGCCAAGCAGAATTGCCCCCTCCCCCGCCCCACACACACCAGAGTGCCGATCGCATCCCCTTTGAGAAGTACCAAATTAGTTGATCTTCAAAGTCTCCTAATTTCCCATTTCTGAGGTTGTGTTTGTTTGTTTGTCTTGGGAAGATTTATCCAGCTGAGGAGAGTTCTGAGCTTAAAATGGACTTACAAATGAGGGTGTTTGTGCATCACGGTGTTGCTCAGTGAGTGCGTAGGCAGGGTGGTGAGAGGGATGGTGAGGGAGGGAGTGTTCTCAGGAGTTGGTTTCAATGGGTCCACAAGCTCTCCGTAAGGCCAGGTGGTCTGGCTTTGTGGGCCAGGTCACCTGGTACAAGGATTCTGCAGTTGTAGCTCAGAAGTTGCTAAGATAATATGTAAATGTGGGTGTGGCTATGTCCCAATAACACTTTACTGGAAGGGAGTAAACAAAGGGCATTTGCTCCCACCCTTTGTTTAGGTGGGAGGTGGCGTAGAGAAGAAGGGCAGGGGAACTTGGGCAGACAAACAGGCACCAGTGAACCTCAAAGGTCAGATAGAGGGTGCAGATGCCAGTGAGGACCTATGGGAGCCTGGCAGTCGATGTGAGGGTTGCTGCAGAAGTTGGGTTTGGCATGTTCCAGACCATCCTCCACAGGGCACACATCTGCCCGAGTCACTTCCTGAAGCCCTGCGGCCCCGTTGCATAGTCCTTGCCCTTAGCCTTCCACGCAGGGGGGTGTGGCCTCCACCCGCAGCGCACAGGGCTGCATCCACACAGACGGGTTCCTCTCTCCACTTGCACCTGCACCATGTCTTCTGCCTGGAAAGCTCTCCTGATCTTTCACCACATGGTGAGCTCCATTCACCCTGCAAGAAGCTGTGAGCACTGTTTCTGTGGAGAGTGTACAACTTCTCCCACCACGGCTCACCCAAGGTTACGTATCATCCATGACTCGTGTATCACATGAACCCCACTCTCTCCTGACTGAGTTCCCTGAGGGCAGTGACTGTCTTAATCGTCACTGTGGTAATTCAGTCAGTAGAGATTGGGGAAAAAACTGAGTGAACAAGAGACTTGTTTTATTTTATGTATTTATTTTTTAAACCACTTTATTTAATAATTTTTAGAAAGAGAGAGACGCAGATTTGTTGTTCCACTGCTTGAATCTTGTATGTGCCCTGACCGGAGATCAAACCTACAACCCTGGCTATCGGGGACAAGGCTCTCACCCACTGAGCTACTCGGCCAGGCCAAGCTGCTTGTTTCGGCAACGATGAGGCCTCGGAGGGGCAGGTGGGGGGAACGGGAGGGCTGTGGAAATGAACCTTCCCGCCTCACCACCCCTCCCTGTGTGCGCAGAGCTTGACCCAGATGGAGAGGGAGAAGATCATTTGGGAGTTTGAGCAGTTGTATCACTCCTTGAAGGAGCAGGAGTACCGCCTGTTGACCTGCCTGGAGGAGCTGGACTTGGCCATCTATAACAGCATCAATGGTGCCACCACCCAGTTCTCCTGCAGCATCTCTCAGCTCAGCAGCCTGATTGCACAGCTGGAGGAGAAGCAGCAGCAGCCAACCCAGGAGCTCTTGCAGGTACGCCGGGAAGCGCCAGGGTGCCCGCGGAGCAGTCACAGGGCAGTGGGAAGCGGTGGGCGTACCCTGCATGGCCAGGGCCAGCATGGTGCCTGTCTCATCTGCAGGCCCTGCTCCAGGCTCTGGGATTTGGTGAGGAACAGGCTCTCCTGGGATTTATGTTCTGATGTTGAAATCAGACCATAAAAGAGCGAATGAACACGTATCATAGGTGTTGACAAATGCCATTAAAAGCGCTGGCCCACCACCTGTTTTGTATGTTCTGTGAGGTAAGTAGGGTTTTACATCTTAAAGTGGTGGGGAAATCAGAACAGTTATTCCACGTGTGTGAAATTATATAAAATTCAAATTTCATCCATATATTATATTGGAACACACCCATGTGTGTTTATTATCTAGTATCTATTGTTACTTTTCTATAACCGCAGAGTTGAGTAGCTGGGACAGACTGGCCTTTAAACAAACAAAAAATTTTTTATCAACTCCCACTCTAGGATACCAGGAGGGCCTCCCAAGCCCCTGGGCATGTGTTTCCTCGCGGGGAGCAGGTGGCCAGAGGCAGGGTGTCTCAGAAGAAGGGTGTGGGCTGTGGAGTTGAGGGGAGATGGTAGGAGGGCGAAAGCCTGGAGTGTGATGACCGCTGTGGAGCCGCTGCAGGGACAGTTGGGCAGGTGGGAGGGACGGCACGGTGAGGAGACGGCAAGAGGAGGTGACTGTTTCAAGAAGCCAGACGCAAGGAGACCCTGGGAGGTGAGGTGGGCCGGGGCTTAAGGAAGCTACATGCTTTAAAGACACGTGCCTACAGGCAAGTGGGTGAGGAACAGATGAGGATGAAGAGCAGGAGAAGGGTCCCTGGGCTGTCACGTGAGGGACCAATCATCATTACTGGGTGGTTCCTGGGAAGGCGGCAGGGCGGGGAGGGACACGTGTGTGGGAGTTGGTTTGGGGGAGAAAGGAGGGTCGGGGGGGTAGTGCAGTCTGGTGTGAGGTTTCATAAAACCTGGTGGCCTTCTTTCAAAGGATAAGAGATCCCTCTTTTTTACTGCTGCATAGTATCCCATGGTGTAGATGTACTACAGCTTTGATTATCCATTCATCTACTGATGGGCACTTGGGCAGTTTCCAGATCTTAGCTATTGTAAATTGTGCTGCTATGAACATATGGATGCTTACATTCTTTCTGATTGGTGTTTCGGGTTATTTAGGCTATATTCCTAGAAGTGGGGTCACTGGGTCAGATGGCAGTTCCATATTTAATTTTTTGAGGAAACTCCATACTGTTTTCCATAGTGGCCACACCAGTCTGCATTCTCACCAGCAGTGCACGAGGGTTCTCTTTCTACACATCCTCACCAACACTTGTCATTTGTTGATTTGTTGATGGTAGCCATTCTGATAGGTGTGAGGTGATACCTCATTTTCATTTTAATTTGCATTTCTCTGATGATCAGTGACTTTGAGCATCCTATATAACAAAGAGCCAATATGCAAATGGTTGTTACGCCCTCACATCGTCATGCTGGAAAGGCTCAGACACTCAACACTGGGGAGAGAGGAATGGGGACCAGCCAGGCACAAATGAGCTCACGAGAGAGGTATGGGGACCAGCCAGGCACAAATGAGTTCATGAGAGAGGAATGGGGACCAGCCAGGCTGCAGTCCGGGAGAGGGGCAAGTCGCCCGCCCCGTGGTCCCAGGTGCCTGTGGCTGTGGCCTGGGTGAAGCTGCCCTCCCATGATGCCCTGCAACCTGCCAGAGGGAGGAAAGCCCAGGTCTCAGGTACCTGCGACCGACCAGAGGAGGGATTCCTGGGTCCCAGTTGTGGGGTGAGGCAGAGGCAGTTAGGGGCGATCAGGCCAGCTGGGGAGCAGTTAGGGGTGATCAGGCAGGCAGGCAGAGGTGGTTAGGGGTGATCAGGCAGGCAGGCAGAGGGGTTAGGGGCAATCAGGTAGCCAGGCAGGCAAGCGGTTAGGAGCCAGTGGTCCCGGATTGCGAGAGGCAGTCGGACATCCCCCGAGGGGTCTTGGATTGGAGAGGGTACAGGCTGGGCTGAGGGACTTCCACGCCCCATGCACAAATTTCACGCACCAGGGCTCTAGTTTTTTCATATGTCTCTTGGCCATCTGTATGTCCACTTTGGAGAAGTGTCTATTTAGGTCCTTTGCCCATTTTTTTAATTGGATTGTTTGTCTTTCTTTTGTTATTCTGTATGAGTTCCTTATATATTTTGGATATTAGCCCTTTATTAGATGTGTCATTGCCAAATATGTTGTCCCATACAGTGGGCTTCCTTTTTGTTTTGTTTTTGGTTTCTGCTCTGCAAAAGCTTTTTATTTTGATGTAGTCCCATTTGTTTATTTTCTCCTTAGTTTCCTTTGCCCTAGGAGATATATCCATAAAGATATTGCTATGAGAAATGTCTCAGATTTTGTTGCCTGTGGTTTCTTTTAGATTTTTATGGTTTCGCGACTTACATTTAAGTCTTTTATCCATTTTGAGTTTATTCTTGTGTATGGTGTAAGTTGGTGGTTTAGTTTCATTCTTTTTCATGTATCTGTCCAATTTTCCCAGCATCATTTATTGAAGAGACTGTCCTGACTTCATTGTATGTTCTTGCCTCCTTTGTCAAATATTAATTGAGTGTGGCTTGGGTCGATTTTGGGGGTCTGTGTTCTGTTCAATTAATCTATATGCCTATCCTTGTGCCAATACCAGGCTGTTTTGATTATTGGGCCTTGTAGTATAACTTGATATCTAGTATTGTGATTTCTCTCAAGATTGCCGTGGCTATTGGGGTCCTTTTTGTTCCACATAAAGTTTTGGAATGTTTGTTCTAGCTCTGTGAAATATGCTGTTGGTATTTTAATATGATTGCATTGAATCTATAGATTGCTTTGGATAGTATGGACATGTTAATGATGTCAATTCTACCAATCCATGAAGATGGTATTTCTTCCACTTGCTTATATCTTCCTCTATCTCTTTTTTGAACGTCCTGTAGTTTTCTGAGTACAAGACATTTAACTCCTTGATTAAGTTTATTCTTAAGTATCTTGATTTTTTTGTTGCAATGGTAAATGGGATTGTTTAATTTCTCTTTCTGAGAATTCATTATTGATGTATAAAAACGCCATAGAGCCCCAGCTGGTTTAGCTCAGAGGCTAGAGCGTCAGCCTGCAGACTGAAGGGTACCAGCTTCGATTCTGGTCAAGGGCACATGTCCAAGTTGTGGGTTTGATCCCAGTAGGGGGCATGCAGGAGGCAGCCGATCAATGATTCTCTCTCATCATTGATGTTTCTATCTTTCTCTCCCTCTTCCTTCCTCTCTGAAATCAATAAAAATAAAAATGCCTTTTTTTTTTTAAAAAAGCCATCAATTTCTGGGTGTTAATTTTGTATTCTGCTACATTGTTAAATTCATTGATTAAATCTAGTAGTTTCCTGGTGGAGTTTTTAGGGTTTTCTATGTACAATATCTTGTCATCTGCGAATAAGGACAGTTTTATTTCCTCCTTTCCAATATGGACAAGTTTTATTTCTTACTTGATCTCTCTGTCTAGGACTCTATCCTATACAATAAAGAGGTAATATGCAAATTGACCTTTACACCCTCACAAGATGGCTGCCTATGACCAGGCCGGCAGGGGGGTTAGTGAGGGACGACCAAACGACTGAATAGCAGGCTGTGTGGGGCGACCAGGCCGGCAGGGGGGTTAGTGAGGGATGACTAAATGACTGAACAGCAGGCTGTGTGGGGCGACCAGGCCAGCAGGGGAGGCAGTTGGGGGCGACCAGGCCGGCAGGGGGGTTGTTTGCTGTAGGCTTGTCATTATGGTCTTTATCATGTTGAGATATGCTCTCTCTATTCCATTTTGTTGAGAGTTTTTATTAAAAAATGGATGTTGGATTTTGTTGATTGCTTTTTCTACACCTATTGATATGATCATTTATTTTTGTCTTTCAGTTTCTTTATGTGGTGTATCACATTTATTAATTTGCAAATATTGTACCAACCTTGCATCCCTGGAATAAATCCCACTTGGTCATAGTAAATAATCTTTTTAAGATATTACTGGATTGATTTGCTAATATTGTGTGGAGAATTGTAGCATCTATGTTAATCAGGGATATTGGCTTATAATTCACTTTCTTTGTAGTGTCTTTATCTGGTTTTGGAATTATGATAATGATGGCCTCATAAGAAGAGCTTGGAAGTGCTCCTTCCCCTTGGATTTTATGGACTAGTCTGAGGAGTATAGCTGTTAGTTCTCCTCTGAAGGTTTGGTAAAACTCCCCTGGGAAGCTGTCCCGGCCTGGGCTTTTGTTTGCTGGGAGTTTTTTTTTTATTTATTTACTAGAGGCCCGTTGCTTGTAGAGATTCATGCAATAGGCCTTCCTTCCCCTTGCTGCCGGCACCGGTTTTCCTCCGGCACCCGGGACCCCGGCCTTTGGTCTGGCCGCAGCAAGGCTTGGCTTCTCCCCTCCGGCTGCAGTGAGGCTTGGCTTCTTCTCTGTGGCCAGAGCGGAGAAGCCAAGCCTCTTCAGTCTTCAGTCTTCAGTCTTCACTCCGGCTGAAGCCTTCAGTCTTCGCTCTGTGCTTGCGTATGCAAATTAACCGCCATCTTTGTTGGGTTAATTTGCATAGTTGCTCTGATTGGCTGGTGGGCGTAGTGGAGTGACACCAATTTGCTTGTTTCTCTTTTATTAGTGTAGATTACTGTCTCAATTTCCTCAATTGTTATTGGCCTATTCAGGTTTCCTGATTCTTCCTGATTCAGTTTGGGAAGATTGTATTTTTCTAGGAATTTGTCCATTTCATCCACATTGTCCAGATTGCTGGCATATAGTTGTTCATAGTATTTTCTTACAATCCTTTGTATTTCTGTGCTGTCAGTTGTTACTTCACCGCTTTCCTTCCTGATTTTCATTATTTGGGTCCTCTCTCTTTGTTTCTTGATGAATATTGCTAAAGGTTCATCAATCTTGTTTATCTTTTCAAA